AGCCTTTCCTTGGAGTCTGACCCCTCCCAAAGCCTTTCCTCTTCCCAATTAGCACTGAGCATTAATGGCAGCAGCTCAGCACCAGCCACTCCCAGCATTTGTCACACTGTGACCAACAACAGCACCAGGAAATTCTGGGCAAGGCAGAGGAATAAACAATTCCCCTCTCTGAAGCTGGATCCAATACCTGCAGTTCCAACCAGGAAATAAACGTGCCTTTGTTGCTGACATTGCCACCACCAGTGACAGTCCCTGGCTGGAGGTGACCTAAATCACAGGGTCTATTTATGAGCTCAGGGGAAAGTGAGTTTATAAAAAGCCCAAAGGTAAAAGGTGTGACACACACAACATTAACCCTTGGACAAAGGAAGCTGTGAGATTCAGAGGGAATGTTTTCCAAGCCTTTTAACCCCACTGCTGTTTTATAAAGATATAATCAGCTCCCCTGAGCCTGCTGTGCTTTTTTATTCCCATTTCTAAGCACTCCTGACACACATCTAAGCTTCCCACCGATGCCCCTTTATTATTTTTAACCCAATGTCTGTATGCTCAGGGTTCTCATTTCCACTGGAAGATGCTGACAACTCTTCACTCCTACAAATTCAATCACCAAAGGTTTGATTCCCACATGAGGATTTTATAACCCAAGAGAGCAGGACAGAACCAGCCACGTGCAACAACTCTGACCTTCAATATCCTGCAGCTTTCAAATTACAACTGAAAATTATTTTAGCTTTTAAAACTCCATTCAACACCCCCTGGCATCCCAATATTCCTGTAAATCAGGAATGCTGCACAAATTCCAGCTGGAATTTTGGGTTTTGTTTCATCAGCAGCCACGTGGTCACTACAGCTCCAGAGCAGGAAATGCCAAAAGTCTCCAAGGAAGCCCCATAATTCCCACCCCAGTACTCCCATTTCCTTGATCTGTCCCCAGTGCCACACTAATGACAGCATTTCCCATCACCAGCAGCTTCCCAAAACGTCCTTTCTTCCCTAAAAGGAGCACTCAGAATGAGAGCACTCAGGAAAATCCCTTCCTGGAGCTTCCATCAGCTCCACTGGAACACCACAGCACTGGCAGGATTGGGAAATGCAGATTCATGAGTCATTTTTTACCAGCAAATTCACAAACTGGCATCCTTGAGACTATTGATTGCTGGGAGAATCCAGCAGGCTGCAAGCAGGGATTGTGCTGTGGTGAAAGAAAGCTGGGAAGCACTGAGGAGATGCTACAGCTGGAACTGGTGCAAGGAAAATCCTGTCCCAGGGTGACACATCAGGCTGCACATTTGAGGAAAGTGGATTTTGGTTTATTTAAGCCGTGGAAAAAGAAACTGAATGGCCTCAGGGCCCAAAATCTGGGATTTTTCTCAGTTCCTATCATCAAAATAAACCAGGTGACACTTGGAATGATGACCTGGCAGTTGGCCCAGGAGATTTGTAGGTGCCTTTAATGCCATCATGAGCAGGAGAAAAATCCCCAAACAAGGCATTTCATCATTGAACTTCCAATTTCTCATCAGCAATATGATGATGGTGTGCAGATTGCAAATCCCTTTGAAGCATTTTAGAGTAGAGGTTGTAGAACCACCAGCCCAAAGCAGAACTGACAGAACAAAGCTCTCAATCTTCATGGAAAAGCTTCATCAAGATTTGCACAGAAAATCCCTGCCCTTTAAAAAAGTCAAAAATCCCAACAAAAAAATAGATCCAGTTCCAAGTGTTACACTGTGAGAAACCATCTGCTTTCTTATCAAAGGAGGAACTCCTTGGACAGGCTGTGGCTGACCCAGACACCAGCCCACCACACACACAAAAAAACAAAATACCACACAAAAATTTGGTTTAATTGCTCTTTAAAATGTGAAACACTGCACCTTTCCCTTCAGGAATATTCCATGGATTTAGCATTGAAATCCTATGGAACACCAACTATTTTAAGTGGCAACCTGAATTTTTTTGTCTGCTATAAAAATCTTCATTTAAGTAATTTAATCCTTTTGGTTCTGACCATACACAAACACATTACAATTCTCTAGGAGCAGCTAAGGACATGACAATTCAGACTGATGGCTTTCCTAAGCTTGTCTAAATATCAGATTAAATTCTGGGAACAGTTTAAACCCAAGGCACTGACACAACCAGCAGCGAGACACGAGCTGGACAAGTTGGTTTTGTAAAGATAACAGAAGTGCCACTCTTTTCTTCCTTAGGATTCAAACTGCACACACAAAAACCCAACTGCTTAAAAAAGAAAAGCAACTGCCATTGGTGTCTGCTTGAAAATGAGGAATTGGGTGAAATGAATAAAAATGGACTCCTACACGAGTACAACACTGAGGAACTCTGAACTGCAAGGTTAAAAAGCAAAACCTTTGAGATCCCTAGGATTCAAACTGCACACACAAAAACCCAACTGCTTTTAAAAAAAAGCAACTGCCATTGGTGTCTGCTTGGAAATGAGGAATTGGGTGAAATGAATGAAAAGACTCATACACGAGTACAACACTGAGGAACTCTGAACTGCAAGGTTAAAAAGCAAAACCTTTGAGATCCTTAGGATTCAAACTGCACACACAAAAACCCAATTGCTTTAAAAAAAAGCAACTGCCATTGGTGTCTGCTTGGAAATGAGGAATTGGGTGAAATGAATGAAAATACTCATACACGAGTACAACACTGAGGAACTCTGAACTGCAAGGTTAAAAAGCAAAACCTTTGAGATCGCAGCGCTGCTGGCAGCTGGCTCTTACCAAATGATTGCCAGGGGTCGGAGGCAGGGGCTGCAGCTGAGGATCCTCCCCAGGGGTCTGTCTGGTTGGCAGCAGCAGCAGCAGCAGCAGCAGCA